TTGCATGAAATTGTGCTATTTAGTATTACTAAAGTTTCACGGTTACATTGTTTGCACTCTAGTCAAATGAAGTAAAAATCACAAGTAAAACGTGTTTTTAGCCTTCGTGGAATGAATAAATGATTTAAAGCCAATTGATATGATACTAATTTTAAGTATAATATTCTAATTGATAAAAAATGTCAAAAATGTTTCAAGAAAACTGAAAAAAAAACGTCGGTTCGAGATCTGAACTGAAATAGGTGATCTAAGGCTAAACAAAATCTGGATTTGTGTTTTTATATTTTGTGACTAAAATACGAAAAATCCCATTTCTGAAGCAAATGCCAAGAATACTTCCTGTGAATATATTAAATCATGCATCGTCTTATTCGGTTTAAAATTTCAGATTTTAGATCTTCGACAAACGTTTTTTTTTGTTATAGGTTTGATGATAATTACGTCAATCCTGGTTCAGAACCATTGAGAGCCCAGAATGCAAGAACATTGACACCTAGAAAAACACAGAGCAAATTGATGGACTGCAAGCATTCTCCAAGAGAGTTAAAAGACTAAAGTATGGCGGCCATTGTGGTGCCGTTAACAATGGATGTTAATAAGAAATCTTTTGTTAAATGGCACCAACGCTCCCCCGAGAGGCCGCAACGACATAACGTGCAATCGCAGAATACAGATAGTACCAGGACCAACTTCGTTAAAAAACAGACAGATAGACAGACAGATAGACAGACAGACAAACAGACAGACAGACAGACAGACAGACAGACAGACAGACAGACAGACAGACAGACAGACAGACAGACAGACGGACGGACGGACGGACGGACGGACAGACGGAATGACGGACAGGCAGACAGACAGACAGACAGACGGACGGACGGACGGACGGACGGACAGACAGAGGGACGGACAGACAGACATATTAAATTATCATTAAAATGCAAAATTACGCGGTAAAATAATAATACTAAAAAAAGATATAATATGATATTAAAGAAAATTATCTAAAATGTGCTCTAAAATTTTCACACTATTTCTTCTGTATTCAGATGTATTACCTGTGGCTTGAGAGAAGCCAAGGACAACCACGACCAGGAACTGAGAAAGAAACGGATAAAAACACAAACAGAAAGTATTAAAACTGTTAAAAAAGGAATAAATGGCAAATGCCCAATTCAGATTTAGGTGAGAAAATATTTAGTGAATTGAATTCATGTACGTGTGCCATAACGCCGAGTTTTAATATAAATAACTTGCAGTCAGTTTAATTATTTACGAACTCTGGAAAGCAGTTTAAATTACAATTTGAATCGGATGAAAAGGTACATATTGTTATCCCAGACACAAAAGAGATGAATTACAAGCGAAATAAACCATAAAAGTCTATCTAATACTTGAATATTATATGACTGCAACATCGATTTTTTCGACTGTACATTCTAACATCCACAAGTATGCTTTTTTATTCCTTAAACGCATACTGTTTCGATGAGTTTAGGCCTACCGTCCACAAGCAGTAAGTTTAGGCCTACCGTCCACAAGCAGTACTTGAAATAATGAAGCTTTTGAAAACATTTTCCAAAGTGGACTTTTGAAAACGCTGTTTACGTCTTCTCGTGTGGACGGACTCAAAGTATATACCTTTTTATGAAACGAAGAAGCCGGAATGGTATAAAAATTACGTCTTCACTCAAAATTAGACGATAAATACAGAGAGCGAATGCCTGCCCTCATGAGCTGCAGTGGAAACTAAATTTGAAACTAAATTTTGTTATTTTTAATAGCCAAAAATAAATTAAATTAAGAAACTGAGGAGAACCTCGAACAGGAAAATAATTCCATCTATATAGGGGTTACCTAATTTATTTGCAAGTACTCTTTAATTAAGAATAAACTGAAACTTGACGCAGTTGACGGCTAGTCACAGAAATCTCGATGGTTTTTTTTACTGTATATTGAGAGGTTTTCCGGCTCTGTTTTTTGGACATTCTCCCTTCGCAAAATCCAGTAGTTTGAGAGAGGACTTATGATAAGTTCATTTGTAAATACCTGTAATCCAAGATTCATTACTGAAGACTCTGATGCTGCGTCGAGCAAGATAACACGATAGCTATACCGTTTATTTCAACATCACTTTTGAAAAACTCAATGATGAAATATCAATTCTTTGATATTCAAATTGCAGTAGCCCAAATCATCACGTCTCATATGAGGAGCAATGGGATTGGTTCACCAGGCCGTCCGTACGCCGTTTCGCTGCAGTTCAGACTAGACTCACTTTAAGTTTATTACTAATACCCAAATCACTAAATAACCCAAAAACGATATCCCTTTATGCAGAAATGAGTTCACCGCGAAGTGAGCGGCTCAGAGTTTGCAAGAATAACTCTGTCATCGGCGCTAACCGTCATCCAATTAATTTCGCATTATTACAAAACAAAAGTTTTATAAGAAGTGGCCTTTCTTGTAACATTTTAACATAAAATTCAGCGATAAAACTTTACTAAAAAACATAATATTACACGACGTTTCGACGTTAACGGAACGTCATTATCAAGCAATAAAAAAACTAATAAGAAAACATGAATAATAATGAATATAAGAAGGTGTGAAAACGAAAAACTATGTAATTAAATATGTAATGTTTAATAAACGAGCAGGAGTGTTTTATCGGGTATAAAACACGAGGCGCAGCCGAGTGGTTTTAGACCCGATAAAMCACGATCTGCGAGATTATTGAACGGCTTAGAAAACTTATGATGTTTGTTCTCATTGTGTACCGATTTTTTACGAAATGAACCAAGTTTGATAGAGAAAATCCAAGTTAGAGTTTATGCAAATGAAGACGAGTCTTTATCAGATTTAAAATCACCTTCATGGTCATGATTTCTATTGTGTTTTCTTCATGAATTATTAATGAGTTTTCTAATGTACAATAAAATGACGAACAAAGAGAGAAAAATAAAAAACACCAGTAAAATACTCTGAGCCCGAATAGAGTCACTTTGAATATTTAAACTGGGTTTCAGTTTGTTAATAAATAACATTTCATAGATTAAACATTTTGACATTTTGAAGAAATCTCGTCAAAATGGGACTGTTTAATTAATGAAATGTTAAAAAACGTTGTCGGGTTCAAAAAGAGGTTATATCATCAAAACTAAGACCGAAGGGGAGCATGGGAAGATAAACAATTATGATAATTTCATGCGTATTGCAGTTTTCCCTTCCTGTGCACATTTTATGCATCATGGCTTTGGCATGTTGTTAATCTAGGTCGACCGACTTTGCTCTACCGTGCATTTTTACATGTCTATATGTAGTGTTTAAAAAACGAGTAGGAGTGTTTTATCAGGTATAAAAGCACGAGGCGTAGCCGTGTCTTTATATAAAGACACATGTGTCTTTATATAAAATCACTTGAATACTAATGAAGAGGACTTTATCAGGTATAAAGGTTCATGCACGTGACGTGTATGGTGGCTCCAATTGGACAATAAGCTTATGAATTATTAATGAGTGTTTTAAGTAAATATAATACACATTTCGGAGTACCCAAAATCCTTTTCGGTCTTAGCTTCGATGATATGACCTTCTCGAACCCGACTACTATTTTCAATTAGGTGTATATATACACATTTACTAAAACCCTCATTTACTGTACTATCAGCAAAAGTTGTAAACTTTCAACTAAATGAGCGAAATAAAATGTATCTATCTACCTTTGAGTTAGAAATGTGATTTTTCGTATTTTAGTCAGAAAGCATAAAATCACAAATACTACGTTTGGTCTCACATCTTCCATCTCATATCTCCAAATAGGTGTATATCGCGGACTGGACATATTATTCAGGAGTCACGATAGCCAGTAGCATAGACGGGGTCCAAATCACGCGCTCCCCTCTCCCCCCCCCCCCCCCCCCCCCCCCCCCCCCGAAATCCCGCGTCAACATATTCACCATTTTCCATACATCGGTTCACTGGTCAAACACAAAGCATTCAGTCGAGGTTGCAAGGTTCAAATTTGAATAATCCTTTGAAAGTACCTTGGCGCCTCATTTGATCGCTTTGTGTTTGACCAGTGAACCAATGTATGGAAAATGGTAAATTCGACATATTCAAAGGCGTTTGAATTTTTATTTTATTATTAATGTTTTCACGTTGTTCCCGAAAATAAGAAACCCGCGATTCACGAGTCACGCGGACCGATGGTATTCTTCGATTGCACGTTACGTCATCGCGGCCATGTTGGTGCCATTTAACAAAAGATTTCTTATTAGCATCCATTGTTAGTGGCACCACAATGGTCGCCATGCTTTTGTCTTTTAACTCTCTTGGGGATGCTTGCAATCCATCAATACCCTGTATACACAGCTAGAGGAACGCTCATTTACAAAGTTCTTTTGTTTTTATTAATATGTCATGCTTGCAGATGTTACCCGAATGGTTTTCATATATTCATACATTCACGCTGGTTAAATTTTATAATGAAAAAGTTCGCTCTAGGGGACATTCGAAGCGTGAAAGATATTCCGAAGCATTCAGATAAAACTAATCAATCAAACTTTATTCAAGCATAACGACATCACACAGAAAAGAGACAGTAAAATATAAGACACGAAGGCGTTCTTGCAATGACCATTAACGATATACAATGCTTGACTTAAGACACTCAGAATCCTAGAATCTTTTTTTTTAAAATAATTGAATTCGTACTGAAGGATGATTTTCTAATAAAATTCTAATGTTGTTTTGATTTCATATTGAACCCAAGCGCTTTTGATTTGGATTTTGTCTCCCTTATTAAAATTTAATTATTCAAACAATTCTAATCCTAATGTATTTTTCACAGCTGCTAATTTTGACAATTTTTTTTCGATGACTCCATCGCCAACTGATTTCGTATATCAGTTTCTTCGTATAGTAAGTTCTCATTCGAGTCAGGTCAGTCCGAGTTATGATCGCGGCATTTTGGTTTCCCTGAAAGTCAGTTTCTGAACGTTAACTAGTTCATTTCTTAGTATTTATGTACTTTAGTTTTGAAACGCTGAAGCGGAGGAAGTCACTAAATTTATGCACAGCATTGAATTGGAACGAAGTTCAAAGGCGTAAAGCTATTGAAACCTAGTAAAAGATTTTCCTAGGGACTGAGCAATCTTCTCAAGTTCATACTATAGCGGCGTTTCTAAACATCTCAGCGACGGCAATCATTTCAGTCGTTTTCAGCCGGCGTACTATATTTTCTTCATATCAAAATGGCAGAGCAAGGAGACCAAATCACAGACTTATCGAAAGCTCTTCTTCCAATTGACAACAAGAAGCCAGAGAGCAATAGGGAACGACCCAGCACACTCGTGGCTTTCTTCGTGTTCGGAGCTCTCATTTACGCTATGTACTCGTTAATAATCGCTGGAGCCCAAGATATCCTAGCAGGGACATACATACAAACTTCCATGGTGTTGGTTGCAAATATTGGACCTTATGTTGTGGTAACCTTCGTCGCTCCATACTTCATGAAAAACATTCCCTATTTCGTTCGTATATGCTTCGTGTTTTTAACCGGAGCCGTGGGATTCATAGTCATTGTATGTTCCAAAGAGGTCGAGTGGAAGTTAATTGGTATTGGATTGGCATCGCTTGGATACGGAGTCGGAGAAGTGAGCTTTCTCGCTTTAACGTCTTATTTCCACTCAAGTGCGTTGTCTGCTTATTCAGTAGGAACCGGCGTCGGATTTGTAGCTGCACCACTTTATTACACGGGTAAGAATACTTCTTAAAGTATAGATGTACACCTATTTCAAAAAACGTTGACGCTCCGGCCGAGATTTGAAATGGGTGATCTGAGACTAAACGGAATTTCTGGATAAAATAAATAAAAACAAAAAAACACATACTTTTATCTATGTTTTTCTAACTCTATATTTTGGGCCACGCTTCATATTCCAACCCAAAAGGAATGTATATTACAATTTGCTGCGTGTTACTCCGCAGTCACAGATTCCAGATTTCCGACCGACAACGTTTTTTGAATTAGGTATTGAATTTTCAATATGTTATTTATTTCGTCGTTCAAAAAGGTGTACTGAATCAATTAAATAAATTAGAGCTTGAAGACTGCACTCAGTATATAAAGATAATTGAATAGTTTTATTTGCGTAAATGCATTTGGTATACTTCATTTTTCTCTCAACCACGAAAAGGAATAAGACTCATATTTGAGTACGTGAGGGTAGCTAGTGTCAATGACTCAAGTAAGGGCTGATATATGGGGAAAGAGGCCCAGGAGGCCCGTCGGCTACCACTACAGTCGGTCGGTTTTTAACAGGAGTAGCTTCTTATAGAACCATTTTTCACCCTCGTCAAGTATTACACCCATATATGCACCTATATATTCAAATAAACGTTGTCATCGCCAAAGGCGATGGGCGAAAAGCCAAGAACATGGACCTTAGTGTTGAGACTGATTCAATGTTCTTGTATTCATTTCCATGTCGGAATGACCTATCGCCTTTGGCGGTGACAGCATTTACTGAAATAGGTGTATAATGTGACGACAGAGAATTTTAGCCGAGTTAATGATTAGCTCAACCGTTCAATATTTAATTCAATTTAGTCAATAAGTCAAATTCAAGCCCAGTTGGTCATAATAGCAGGATAAAAGTTATAGTAACTTTAGGAAGTCTTTTCTTACTACAAAGAATAACGAGTTAATCCGCAGCAATAGAT